AGGTACTCGAATCATTCGAGGAATCGTTTCAGCCCTAACGTACATAAAACAAATAAATAAATAAAAGCCTAAAACTGAATGTGATGTAGAGTAGGTTAATAGTTTTATAGCAACAAACAAACAAAACAAAAGATAACGATTGTGAATAAGAACTAACTCTTTCATCTAATGCAGTACCTGTGTGTACAAACCAACCAGAGTTAGGTCTGATCCTTGAGGAACAGCTGAGTGGATTAAATACCGTTCCCATCGTTCCCATCTGTTTCAGATTCCCACCGTACAGCAGATCCAGTTTTCATGACGAGTGCCAACACCAGGCCCTCCTGGGGCTCGCGCTCACCTGATGACCTCTGACCCTTCCGCTGGGAAAGGCCATCCAGTCGACTGGAAGGGAAGCATCCGGAGAAGCCCTCATGTACAGAGAAATCACTACCTGTTTCGTAGAGTGTGTAGTTTCTAGTCATCAGGTACCAAACGTTTGGAGAACTTCCAAGTCAGCTGGGAGATGCAAGGCTTTATTTTAAAAACTAGTCCTCTTACATGGTTTAGTGTTGGATTATGTTTGTGCTTGTGTATCAATGTGTTTTGCTTTAAAGCGTTTTTGACGTGTTTTGGTTTGGGGGGGAGGAATCAGGGAGGGTCTGTGAAGGGAGGGGTGTCTGTCCAGGCTGGTTTTTGAACACCTGCGTTCAGAAGGAGCCATGTTGTTACCTTCACATTAGATCAACAGCTCTTTTTGTAAGTGATCACTTGTGCTTTAATGTTATGGAAACCTTTTGAATAAAAATTCAGAAGTGATCTTTCAAGTGTCAGTTCTTTAACTTCTGTCATTTACCTGAAAAATTAGAGTATCTAAGCATAGTCTTTGAATGTTTAATGGAAGGAAAAAGTGTGCACAGCTGTCCTAATGTGTACAAATAGGGAAGACCCCCAATCTGGAGAATGAAGTCCTTTTATTTCACTGTTTTTAACAGTAATATGAGAGAGACTTTATGCTCTCTCATATTACTGTGAATAAAATGTATTAAAAAAAAAAAACAAAATAAACACAGAAAACTCAAATCCTAACAGAAGGAACACTGGTTAAATTCAGTAAACTAGAATATATATCCCAATGAAGCTCATTTGTCAGATTAAAAACTTTTGATGATAACCTTTAAGCAGGTATCGAATCCACATTCTGTTTCTAATTTTAAATTTCATGGCTTTTTTTATGAGCTGTAGCGGAAATAAAGGCTTTCAGGATTCCATCTGTGTCCAAATGATCAATGTAATGTTTTTCACTTACTGATTAAGTTCCTAAAAATAAATAAACTTTCTAATTTTAATTTATTGAATGTGTGGGTGTGTACAGGAGTTCAACATTTGTAGCTCCTCATATTTCTCCTGTCTGGTCCTACTGTCATTCTTGAGACGATAAATTCCTTCTGATATATTCTACATATAAAATGTCAGGTTTCCTGTGGGTGGTCTCACTTCCAGCATTCCAGTTATGGAAGCAACTCCTGTAAAGCCCCATCAGTGCCCCGTCAGGCCTCCATCAGACTCTGTCAGGCCCCTGATAGACCCTGTTAGGCCCCCGTCAGGCTCCCGCCCCACCAGGCTCATTTCCTCCTATAGAAGCTCAGGGATCAGCCCTTAGACTTTTCCCCAGGAAGCTCCTGTTGGCTGTTTCCTGAGCCTCTCCCACTCTGTGAATAAACAGCACACTGTCTGCCAGCCGACTTTCACATGCCTACAGAGATGTTCATTCAAGTAGACACACACACACACACACACTCATTAAACCAAAAATATCCATCCCCCCAAAAAAAAAAAAAAAAAATAGATTCACACACAGAACCTGACCACCTCCCTTTCCTTTTTCTCCCTTCCTCATTTGTCTCCTCATCCTCATCCTCTGACCTCACCCTCCACCTCTACCTAGTGAGACTATAAATAAGAAAAGACAATGCAGGTTAAATATACTGGATGTCACAGAGCACAGCTCAACATGACCTTTTTCTATAATGCCACATACTGGAATATATTCTCACATCTAAATCATGGAAGTGTTTAGACGTTACACCATCAGTTATAGCATCGTTGTTTCTATAAAGGATGTACGACTCAAACAAGTTTTATGAATTACAGTCACACGGCTCCTCACATCTGATCGTCCCTACCTGATGGATTACCAATCATATCACATAACCACTTTTTAAAAGTATTCATACATCTGAATGTTTTCACACTTTGCCATGTTATAGCCACACACTTCATTGTAATTTAAGGGATTTGATGTGACAGACCAACACAAAGCGGAGCATGATTGTCAGATGGAAGGAAAATGACAGATGATGATCTGTCTATAAACCTTGACAGATAATAATGTGAAAGGTTTGTATTCAACTTGGCCATCAAAACCATGAATTATTGTGTTTCTTCTTGACAAATATGTATGTATTACTTGCAGCATACAATGAAGTGATTACTTTAGACAACAAATAAATGTTTAACAATAAATAGTCATAGAGTTGCTTACGTTAATACTATATTTTCTCTTCATGAATAAAGGCATAACAACCTTTGAAATGTAGGGAACTGATTGCTGTTTTTGGTCCTGAGGAGTTTATCAATAAATCTGATTTAAATATACGATGAAAAGTTCAGTCAGGGCAGAATGAGGTTAGGTCATTAAACAAGTGAGCAGAGAAAATATTAAAGTGACTCAGTTAGCAGTGCAGAAACCTTACAATGAGGTGGTGTATGGGTGGAGCAGCTGTGAATACCAGCACCGTTTCCCCAACAGAACATAGCAGTGCAGTGAGGTCATCAATGTAGGATTTACATTTATGTCATTCCCCAAATATAGTCACTTTGTCCAGACAGTGGCATGTCAAAGTTAGCATACCTCGGAAGTGTTGTATTCAGCCACATTTACTATAATACCCACAGACCCAGAGATGCTTCATACTGTCCACTCTCCAGTATCAGAATCAGCCTCTTTAACACTGAAAAGAAAAAACAGGAGGCATATTTAAATGGATCCACGACTCTTCAGAAACTGACTGGTTTCTTGAGACTTAAAAATCTGAATCCTGCCTCAGAGGATCAGGATTTTACAGAGCCCTCTGGGGGATATGGGGAGTTTTTGTTTTTTTTTGCATTCCCTCGCAATAGATTTTGCTTTCTCTCGCAATAATGCAATAATGTACAGATTAGTTAATGCGGCATAACTGAATACTGCAAGCCTTTCTTACGGTGGCCATCGTACTTTCTGCTTTATATAAGGTTTTCATGAGGTTTTTCCATGTATCTTAATATCTTCAGTAACACTTTATTTGAAGGGGGTTGAATGAGACTGTCATGACACTGTCATAAACATGACATAACACCATTAATCTGACTAGTAATGGGAATAAATACTAACATCATTAGTAAGAGTTAATTTAAGTTCAAACATGTAAAACAGAAGGCAGAGAAGCTGATTATGTGAA